GCTTGGATTCATGGGGCCAGACATTGCAAAAATCTGGTTGGAGTATCCAACCGGGATCATCAAGTGGCACGAGTAAGCATCGCGAACGGCGATGTCAGAAGGTTCAGGAACCCTTCGTTTGCCTGTAGAGTTTACTACTGGGGCAGTGACGAAAACTTTGGGTTTAACATGTTCAGTTGGTGCGTTAGCACTGGGAGCAGTAGAAGCAGATGCCATCGTTTGAAATGAGGTTGAAGATGAAGTGAAAGAGGAAGAGTTTTCTGCGAAGATAACAAGCTTGTATGGAAACAAGGAAGTTTGAAGGCTAGTTGGCGTAAAAAGTCCCACAATGGGATATTCACTGCTATTTATAGTAGTGGGAAAAATCCCCAATAACGAGGACATTAAATGCCATTTAATGCTGCAGGAGTTAGTGGGACGCGTGGCAGCCCCTTGTTGTTTTGGCCGTTTCTGCAGAAGTAGAGAGACGCAGCGTGCGTCCTCGTTTTTGAGAATTGTCATAATGACAAATTCTGAAATGACGTTTGGTACTGCACGCCGTACTGAAAGTGACGTCCTAGGATCAAATCAATGATGGTTTTCTTGGGATTGCCAATAGTTGGTAAAAAGCAACAAAAAGTGCACAAGTTAGTTTGTAACTAAGCGTGGAAAGACAGGTGTCGAATGGCGTTTCAAAGAATGCCTTTTTCTTTCAGAGTCGAAATAAGGCATTCTTGGGGGGCAATTTGTTGGCTCCTAAATTTGACACCTTTGTTTTGATTGATGTCAGCCATTAAAGCTGAAGGATGGCTTCGACTGGCTAAGTCTGTCGAAATGCCCGTCGAAAGATGGCAAAGTACTTAGAAGATTTCTTCCAAGGAAGAAGGCTGGTTCCCTTCGACGTCGAAGGAGTATCTCGTCGAAGATGTCTCTTGACGAAAGTGTTCGATGGTTCAGAGTGGAGCAGTTTGAAATTCAAGCGTTTGGAGGGAAAACGGTTTCCAGCAGTTACCACGTGCAAACGTGCAAGGATCTGGAGCGTCGAACGCGGAGAACGTGCCAAGTGGATTGATCTCGAAGCAGTGTAACTGCCTGACGGTTACTTGGGATGTTTTAGTATAAATAGGAGTAGACATGTAGTTTCTCGCGTGTGTTCACAATTCTATACAAAGTCACTCATATAGATTCGAGTACCCAGCGTGTGAGAAAGAATTGTTGAGAAATGTATGTGTGAAACACCAATTTTATCAATTAAAGTCATTTACTTTTCCAGAAATTTACTTGCTTTCTCCTTTACATTCCTGTCGAACCTTTTACTTTAAAGCCTTGTTTATTTTACCAAGTCTTTCCTTTATGCAATTTACTTGAAACCTTTTATTTAAAGCCTTATCCAACTTAATCAAACTTCAAAATCAACCTATGTCCTAGGATCAATCTGATCGATCCTGCGAGTAACCAAATAAGTAACCATTTGGAGGATCAGCGGTTGTTTACCAAAACCCAAGGTAAACACTTTCGAACAACTGAAAGCAAATAAAAAGTTAACAGGCTAGCAGTCGAAAAAAAAACAAAGTAATGTAAAAGGATGAACTTACATTTCTTTATTTTGTCCAACACAAGGACAAAGGATTTCTGAAGCTCATCCATGAAGTTCTTCTCGTCGAAGAACTCCTCAGCATAATAGCTTTTCCACCACTCCTCGAAGGATGGTGAGCAAAGAAAATTGAGCTGGTAGTCAAACAACGAGAGAACTGTTCGACCAGCATATCTTCCGATATGCTTGATGGCAGCTTCTTCGGTGTAATCATTGCAGAAGTACAACATTGACTTCTCTCGTGGAAAAATCGGAGAAGGTAGGGTTTGGATAATACCAAACTGGCGAGATACCAGGTTTGGTTGGTATGCAATCAGACTCAAGTGAGTCTTAGAGCTCCTGAATCGAAGAGGCATGATCCTTGGTGTGAGGAACGCCTCCCACAGTATTGTATGTTCGTTAACATTAGGACCACTCGACGTCCTTGGATGTGGCCTTGTGAACCATGCTGGGCCTACCTGCCGTCGAGCAAATGGAGCCATAGTTGAAACAAACTCTTTCCTTCGAGCAAACATCAGAACAAAGTTGGTGAAGGTTTGCTGAAACTCCAGTCCATCTTCCATAGGTGTCAACAGAGCCAGCCTGGTTCCTTCGACGCGTCTGTTCGCTATCTCTGGAGCCTGCTCATTTATCTGAACCTTCTTAGGCAAGAAAGATTCGAAAGTGGCATTGAGCCACAGTTGGAGCAGCCAAAAAGGCCCAGCAAGTAGCAAACTGGCCCTGTTCTCGATAATTTTTAGAAGAGTTGCCCCATTGCTGATCGAATCATAGAGGCTAGCCAGAATCAGTTCTGCCAAACAGATGTTTTGGCGATGATGCAGTTGAGTAGCGAGAGTGACCATCTTTTTGGTCACCTGTAAAGACTTCGAGCAAAATACAAAGCGAGTCAGCCATAGGGCTAGAAACGCTATGTGTTCGACATCCGACACAACATCTGTCGACCTGTCGTGATAGTGGTTGATGAAAGTGGTGTATGTTGGTTTGGTGTCAGAGAAGCCAATTTGATCTTCCGACATCTCCTCCGGGTCGAAGTAGTCCCCGGTGGGTCGAAGGCCAGTAATAGCGGCCACATCGAAGAGTGTGGGGGTTAGCATCCCACAGGGAAGATGGAAAGTAAAATGGGAGTAGTCCCAGAACAGCAGAGAAGCTATCAGCATCTCCGGAGAATAGTTCAAACCTGTCTTCGACAGCATCACCAGGTCGAAAATCCTCATATCCTTCCAGATCGAAGTTTGGTGCTTCTCCATCTTTTCTAGCCAAGCAACGTAATCAGGAGTAAGGCTAGGGCCAGACCTGAAGGCCATAACACCTCTGTTGAAGAAGCGGAGGTCGATTTTTTCATGTGCAGGGTCCTCATTGTCTTCTGCGTCTTTCTTGGCGCATGCAACCGGTTTGAGTTTCTCAACTACCGGAAAATAGCTCTTGATCTTCATAGCCTCAGAGATACTTGGATACATGGGGCCAGACATAGCAAAGATCTGGTTGGAGTATCCAACCGGGATCATAAGGTGGCGTGAGTAGGCATCGCGAACGGCGATGTCCAAGGGTTCAGGAACCCTTCGTTTGCCTGTAGAAGTTACTACTGGAGCAGTGACGAAAACCTTAGGTTTAGCGTTTTCAGATGGTACAGTAGCGCCAGGAGCATTGGAAGCAGATGCCATTGTTAGTGTTGAGGTTGAAGACGAAGTGAAGGAGGAAATGTTTTTGCAAAGATGACAAGTTGTATGAAAACAGAGAAGTTTGAAAGCTAGATGGCGTAAAAAGTCCCACAATGGGGTACTTACTGCTATTTATAGTAGTGGGGGAAAATCCCCAAAACCGAGGACATTAAATGCCATTTAATTATTGCAGGAGCTAGTGGGACGCGTGGCAGCCCCCTGTTGTTTTAGCCGTTCTGCAGAAATAGAGGGACGCAGCGTGCGTCCTCGTTTTTGGGAATTGTCATAATGACAAATTCTGAAATGACGTTTGGTACTGCACGCCGTACTGAAAGTGACGTCCTAGGTACGGATAAATGATGGTTTTCTTGGGATTGCCAATAGTTGGTAGAAAACAACAAAAAGTGCACAAGTTAATTTGTGACTAAGCGTGAAAAGACAGGTGTCGAATGGTGTTTCAAAGAATGCCTTTTTCTTTCAGAGTCGAAATAAGGCATTCTTGGGGGGCAATTTGTTGGCTCCTAAATTCGACACCTTTGTTTTGTTGATGTCAGCCATTAAAGCTGAAGGATGTTTTCGACTGGCTAAGTCTGTCGAAATGCCCGTCGAAAGATGGCAAAGTACTTAGAAGATTTCTTCCAAGGGAGAAGTTGGTTGCCTTCGACGTCGAAGGAGTTTCTCGTCGAAGATGTCTCTCGACGAAAGTGTTCGATGGTTCAGAGTGGAGCAATTTGAAATTCAAGCTTTTGGAGGGAAAACGGTTTCCAGCAGTTACCACGTGTAGCGTGCAAAGATCTGGAGCGTCGAACGTTGAGAACGTGCCAAGTAGAATCATCTCGAAGCAGTGTAACTGCCCGACGGTTACTTGGGATGTTTTAGTATAAATAGTAGTAGTCATGTAAGTTCTCGCGGGTGTTCACAATTCTATACAAAGTCACTCATATAGATTCGAGTACCCAGCGTGTGAGAAAGAATTGTTGAGAAATGTATGTGTGAAACACCAATTTTATTAATCAAAGTCATTTACTTTTCCAGAAATTTACTTGCTTTCCTCTTTACATTCCTGTCGAAGCCTTTTACTTTAAGCCTTGTTTATTTTACCAAGTCCTTTCTTCATGCAATTTACTTGAAACCTCTTTATTTAAAGCCTTATCCAATCTAATCAAAACTTCAAAATCAACCTATGTCCTAGGATCAATCTGATCGATCCTGCGAGTAACCAAATAAGTAACCATTTGGAGGATCAGCGGTTGTTTACCAAATCCCGAGGTAAACAGCCTGTTACCTGCTCTCGAAGATAATGGAACCTCATTTCGATGTGTTTACTTCGACCATGTGCTATTGGGTTCTTCGCTAGATTGATAGCTGACATGCTGTCGATCTTCCTTCATGGTAATTGCTCTGTTATCTCTTCGACCAAGTTCACTATCCAAGTTGCTTGACATGCACAAAGTGAAGCAGCTATGTATTCTGCTTCGCATGATGATAATGTCACTACTGGTTCCTTTCTTGAATTCCAAGTAACTGGTGCACCACCTAGCATAAACATATATCATGTTGTTGACTTTCAATCTTCAGCATCACTACACCAACTCGAATCAGTGTATCTCACTAACTTGCATTCTTTTCTTTTATCAACTGCAGGAAATAAAATGTCATAATCAAAAGTTCCTTTGAGATACCTTAGTATCCTCTTCACTGCTGTTAGATGTGATACCTTTGGCTTCTGCATGAATCTACTTACCATACCTACACTATATGCTAAGTTAGGCCTTGTATGACAAATGTATCTCAATGATCCAATAAGTCTTCTGTATTGGGTTGGATCAACATCATCTTCATCTGCATCTTTCGACAGTTGCAGTCTTGGTTTTGCAGGTGTCAAAGTTGGGTTGCATTCTTCCATCTCAAATCTCTTGATAATTTCTCCTGCATATCTTCTTTGATGCGTCATCAAACCTCTACTTCTCTTGTAGAATTCGATACCAATGAAATATGAAATCTCACCCAAGTCAGACATTTTGAATTCCTTGCTGAGATCACCTTTGAAGTCTTCGATCTCACTCTTGCAGCTACCTGTTATCAACAAATCATCTACATAGAGACATAGTATAAGCAATTTACTCTTGCTTCTTCTTACATATACTCCATGTTCAGTTTTGCACTCCACAAATTCCTTCTCCCTTAGGAAACTATCAATTTTCTTATTTCAAACCCTTGGAGCTTGTTTCAATCCATACAGGACTTTATGCAACCTGCACACCTTTCTTTCTTCGTCATGTTTCACAAATCCAACTGGTTGTTTAACATAGACTTCTTCATCTAAGGGTCCATTTAGGAATGCACACTTCAGGTCCATTTGACATATGTGCCAACTGTTTATTTCTGCTAGACCAACAACCAACCTGATTGTTTCGATCCTAGCGACAGGTGCAAAAACTTCATCGAAGTCTATTCCTTCTTTCTGTAGAAATCCTTTCGCCACAAGCCTTGCTTTATGTCGAGTTACTTTCCCTTTCGAATTCGTTTTCACTTTGTATACCCACTTGACATCAATTGCCTTCTTGCCTTGAGGCAATTCGATAAGTGACCAAGTGTTGTTGTCTTCGATAGACTTCACTTCTTCGTTCATTTCTTTCACCCACTTCGAATCCTGCAATGCTTCAGCTGCATTAACGGGTTCGACATCTGCATAGAAAGCATAACGTATCAGCTCACCTTCATCATCTATCACATCATCTGATGTAATCACACAATCTTGCAATCTTGCAGACATGCGTCTTGTTCTTTGAGGTCTGCTTGTACTCGGTATATCTGTTGGTTCCTCTTGTCAAACTTCTCTTTCGACTTAAGTTTCTAGTTCTTCGAATAGGATTCCCACTGAATCTTTCTTGACATTATCAGTCCAATCTCATTCTTTAAACTCATCTATGATCACGTCCCTGCTGATCATGCTTTTTCACTAGATCAAACAACTTGTAGCCTTCTGTCGAATGATATCCAACTAGAATCATTTGACTTGACTTGTCATCAAATTTTCTTCTCAACTGATCTGACACATGTCTATGTGCAATAGATTCAAATACCTTCATATGACTCAAGCTAGGCTTCACATCAGACCAACATTCTTCTGGAGTAATTCCTTCTAGCTTCTTTGTAGGACATATGTTCAAAATATATGTTGCAGTCGAAACAGGTTCACCCCAAGACTCTTTAGGTAAATTCTTACCTTTCAACATATTTCTCACCATATTCATGATGGTTCGATTCTTCCTTTCTGCAATTCCATTTTGTTGTGGAGTATAGGGTGGCATCACCTCACGCACAATCTCTTCCTTTTCACACAGCCTGTCAAAGTCTTTCGACACATATTCTCCACCACCATCAGTTCTCAAAACTTTGAGCTTTCGACAACTCTGTCTTTCGACCATAGACTTAAACTTGGCAAATACTTCGATCACTTCACTTTTCTTCTTGATAAGATAAGTCCATAGCTTTCGACTGAAATCATCTATGAATGTAACAAAGTATTTGTTACCTCCCATCGAATCTACCTGGATTGGTCCACATACATCAGAGTATATGACTTCAAGAATAGCCTTCGATCTGCTTCCTGCATCCTTGATGAAGTTATTCTTGTGTTGCTTCGCCTGCACACATTCCTCACATACTTCGTTTGGAATGTCAATTTCAGGCAATCCTGAAACCATATTTCTTCTCTTCAAATCTCTGATGTCTCTGAAGTTGAGATGACCTAGTCTATAATGCCATATTCATTCATCTCTGCTAGCTGCAGTCGAAAGACACTTGTGCTCCATCACATTTAGTTCAATCTTGAAGGTTCGATTCTGAGACATGGGAGCCTTCAAGATTAATCTCTCATTTGCATCAATGACTCTTATCATCTTATCTTCGATTGACACTTTATAATTCTTTTCGATCAACTGCCCTATACTGAGCAAATTGCTCTTCATGCCTGGTATGTACAACACATTGGAGATTACTGACCTTTTGCCATCTTTCCTCATAATCATAACGTTACCAACACCTTCAGTTGCTAGGGTATTGTCATTTGTAAATTTTACCATATTTTTCATTGAGGGCTTTATATTAACAAACCAGTCTTTCCTTCCAGACATATGTGATGAACATTCCGAGTCTAAGTATCATTGGTCCTTGAATCTATCTTCATCTCTTGTTGTGACCATCAACATCATCTCTTATTCTTCATGTTTTACAAGCTTTGCATCACTTTCTTGATTCTTTCGTTTTTCTGGACAATCACTTGAATAGTGTCCATACTTCTGACAATTGTAACATTGAATGTGACTCTTATCAGGTTTTCGACCACCACCTCTTCCTCTATTTGCACCACCACCTCTTTGGTTGCCTTGGTATGGCCTTCTTTGATTCGACATGTTTCCTTCGATCTAGTTTCCTCTACCATTCGATTTGTTGTAGCCACCTCTACCTCTGTCGAAACATTTTCCTTTGCCTTTGGTTTCTTTTGCTGAATGTGCCTGCAAGGCCACGCCACTCTTCGATTTTCCTACAGCTCTTTCATTCATTCATTCTTTGTTCATGAGATTCAAGCGTCTCTTGAAGCTCTTCCTTTGTCAATTTCGACAAGTCTTTCCCCTCTTCTATCGCCACCATTATGTGCTCGAACTTAGGAGCTAAAGATCTCAAGATCTTCGAAACAACAACTCTTGTTGTTAGCGCTTCTCCACATATCTTGATTTGATTTACTAGTTTTGTAACTCTAGTGAAGAAATCATATATGCTTTCACTGTCTTCCATCTGAAGCAGTTCATAAGTCCTTTTGTGAGTTTGTAACCTCACTTCTTTCACTTTCTCAGCGCCTCCAAAAGACTTCTCAAGGATTTTCCAAGCTTCTTTTGCAGATTCTGAATCACTAACTTTTTCAAAATTGTCTGGGTTGACACATTGATGAATTATAAATAATGCTTTATAACTCAGCTTCTCAAATTCTGTGTATTTCTTCTTTTCTTCTTCTGAAGCGTTTTCTTCAAGCGCTTCGACTTCATCTTTTACAAGGTCCCAAAGACCTTGACACCTGAATAAGACTTTCATCTGTTTGCAACAATTCTCATAGTTGTCAACTTTCAGAATTGGTAGTATTGCTGGATAGTTTGCATTCCCATAACTTGTCATCGTGAATTTTTCAATCGTTCTTGATTGACACTTCCCTCGAATCGAAACAAAAGCTCTTGATACCAGATGTTAGAAACTCACCTAAATTTATGATGAATTTCTACCACAATGACAATTTAATTATGAGACAGACAAAGAAAAAAAGACAAGACAAATAATTTCTGCAGAGTTTCTCTCTGCTCACAAACTGTGAAAACTTTCTTATTCACTTTGCAACTGCAAAATACTTTGAATGACTTGCATACAAAAAAAATAAGACCCTCTATTTATAACTGAGTTTACAACCTAAGCCCAAAGCCCAAAATATTTATTTTGTTATTAAATCAAATCAAATTTATTCTAGACTTAAATCAAATCTAAAACAAATCAAATCTTTTCGACACATAATTTTAACACACTTAATTACAATTTAACGATTATATCTAATCATATTTCATCACATAATCGTAAATATATTTCAGAAACAAATTTGCATAACTACAAAATTTAGAAAATGCATTACCTCACTTTTGTTAATATCAAAAACAGTAACTATAATTGTTTCATCTTGAAAAGGCTCCACAGAGAGGGCAGCCATTTCCTGCATAGAAAAGAAACTCAAAAGTTCAAGCAATTGACGCATTTCAAACATAATTTCTTGCTTTTTCTTTTAAGATATTTTCCGGTTCCATTGATCAAATAACATTAACAACAAAAAGAGGCCTGACCTGAGTTCTAGGGTTGGCGATGCCATGAGTGAAAAAGAAACCTCCTACAATAGAGAAGAGACGGCGGAAACCGTTTAATCTTGCGGATCGGAAGTTAATTAGATTTGGAAAAGTAGATCTGGCACTTTTCTCTGTGAAATGTTAAGAGTTAGTTAAAAGTTAAGAATTAGTGGAAGAAAAGAATGAAATGAGAGGTAGTTACCGGAGAGGAGGGAACCGTAACCGCAAATGGAAATGTAACCGTCAACGTCACCGGGAAGAGAGGCCAGCGCCAAGGCTTGCTCGTGATCAGAGTAAACTACCATTTCAACGAAGCACTTCTGCTTAATTACCCATCCTATCTATTATAGAGACAATTCCAGACTACTATACAAGTTTTTCCTTATTATAAATTTTAGTTTTTTAGATTTATAGAAGACTTGATGCATCTAGTTCATTTACCGTCCCAATACATCAATTAAACAATGAATTTAAATTTAAATTTTTGTTATTATTTTATAATATTATTTTATTTTATCTTATATAAAAATAGTAACAGATCTGTATTTACGCATGGGATATATTTTTAGACGAGATATGGATTTGAAAGTGCATTTGTTTGTAGATTGCAATAAATATAAGATATTAAAAAAAGAAAAAGTTTAATAATAATAGAAATTTTTAATTTAAAAGATGATAAAGGTAGGAAGTAAATGACATTAACATAATATAATTATTTGGGTCTATTTAACATAAATATGAGAGCTACATTTTCAACAAAGAAATTAAATTCGTCGCCAATTTTGAGAAATATGAGATGAGGCTTAGTTTGAATGTGTTTTTACTTTTTGTGTGATGATAGTGTTCGAAAATATATCTTTAAAATTTTAAAACATATTTTTGAATTTTTATAAAATATTTTTCGATCATTTAAAATTTTGACTAACAATCTACGTCACTTATTTAATTTTCATTTCAAGTATGGACGTTGTCTTTATATTTTACCTCATACCATACTACAAGTTTTTTTTTCATAAATAAATACCCCTCATTTTTAATGATAAGATTTTTGAGACTTTGTTTATCTTTAAATAGATTTTTTATAATTTTAGATATATTTAATATATTTTTATTAATATTTGATACTATTATTTTATTTTGAAAAAATAAATTAAATTAAATATAACTTTAAATAAAAAATACTCCCTCCATTTCTTATAATAAATAAGTTTTAATTTTTAGATTCATTGAAGAATTGATGTTGTTAGTTGGTTAATTCTTGTTAGTTGTTATTTGAGTTTTAGCTTGTATTTGGGTCTGGGCATTTTGTCTATATAAAGGGCGATTACTTTGTAATCCAAACATAAATGCAGCAACAATAATAACAAATTCAGTTTCAAGAGTTAGTTACACTAACTAATTCAAAATCTCTCTCTTTCTCTATCTTCTTCTCTCTTCTTCTTCTTCTTCTTCTTCTTGTTTTTCACAATATTCATCTTTCTTGAATCTTTTGTTCCAATAAATTGGTATCAGAACTTGTTTGTGATTCAGAGAGAATCTAATGGCAAACAGATCAACAACCTCAACACAATTTCCATCTAATCTTCCGATTTTCAAAGGTGAAAACCATCAAAGATGGGTGGCACAAACGAAGGTCATTTTCAGATTTCAAGATGTTGTAGAAATCGTGAATGATGGAATGTCACAATTGGAAGATGATGCTATGAAAGCCCAGAAAGCTGCGCACAAAGATCAGTGGAAGAAAAATGGCAAGACGTTGTTCTTGATTCACCAGTGTGTGGATTGTGATGTGTTTGAGAAGATAATCGAAGAAGAAACAACAAAAGGAGCTTGGGAAAAGCTGAAGTCTTTGTATGGTGGAGATAAGAAACTGAAGAAGGTGAAGTTGCAGACTATGAGAAAGCAGTATGAGATCCTGCAGATGAAAGATGATGAATTTGTTTCAACATATTTCTCAAGAGTGGTAATGCTAACAAACCAGATGAAGGCGTGTGGTGAAGCGCTAACGGGTTTGTAGAAGATAGAAAAGGTATTAAGATCTCTAATTGAAAATTTTGATTACTTTATTGTAACAATCGAAGAGGCCAAGAATCTATCTGAGATGAAGTTGGAAGAACTCCAAGCTTCTTTGGAGGCTCATGAAATGAGGCTGCAGCAAAGAAACTCAGAAAGGGAGAAGACAGTTGAACAAGCATTGCAATCAAGATTCAGGAAGAAAGCTGGAAAAGAGAAATCGAAGTAGCGTAAGAATCTTGCTGGTGATGAGAAGACAAGCAAGAATACTGATTCAAAAGGAGTGGGCAACAAGTATTCTGGGAAGAAAGTTGACACGAAAGGGGTGCAATGTTACAATTGTCAAGGTTTTGGCCACTATGCTAGAGATTGTCGAAGTAAGAAAGCTGCAAGATCGAAAGATAGTGATGAAGCTCAATATGCACGAGCTGGAAGTAGTGATTCTGATGATGTGTTATTGCTGGTGAACACTCAATCGAACACTGAGAAAAACAACATGTGGTATCTGGATTCAGGATGTAGCAACCACATGACTGGCAATAAAAACTGGTTTACCAAATTAGATGATTCAGTGGAAAAGGTGATAAAGTTTACAAATGTCAGGCATATCAAATCAGGTGGTAAAGGAGACATTTCGGTTATCAGGAAGGATGGTCGAAAGGCTACTATCACTGAAGTTCTGTATGTACCTTCGATGACAAGTAACTTGATAAGTGTAGGTCAATTACTTGCCAAAGGCTTCAATATGAAGTTGGAGAATAATCAGACGAAGGTATATAGGGCTGATGGGAGGCTAATCATGAAAGCACCATTGGCAGAGAACAAAACCTTCAAAGTCGAACCCAACGCATCAGGTGAAAAATGTTTTGCTTCAACTGCAGAAGAAGACAAGAACTGGCTATGGCATCACAGGTATGGACATCTAAACTTCAAAATTTTATGTATGCTCAATCAGAAGAAAATGGTGCTTGGGTTGCCGTATGTGAAGGAACCAAAGTAGATATGTGAAGAATGCTGCAAAGCTAAGCAGGCAAGGAAGACATTCAAACGTGATTTTCCTATAAGGTCAAGGCAAAAACTGGAGTTGGCTCATTCAAATGTGTGTGGACCTTTCAAAGTAAAGTCCAATGGAGGTAACAAGTATTTCCTTACTTTCATTGATGAATTCACCAGACATATATTGATTTACCTTATTGAAAGGAAGAGTGAGGTATTCACACAGTTCAAGAAGTTCAAGTTGCATGCTGAGAAACAAAGTGGCTGCAAATTGAAAAAGTTAAGAACTGATGGTGGTGGTGAATATACTTCAGCAGAATTTGCCAGATTTTGCAATGAGGAAGGTATACAGCATGGGGTTGTTGCACCCTATACGCCTCAGCATAATGGCATCGCCGAGAGAAAGAATAGAAGTGTATTGAACATGACCAGATGTATGTTGAAAGCTAAGAATATGCCTAAGAGATTTTGGGCCGAAGCAGCTTCGACAACATTATACATTCTAAACAAATGCCCAACGATGAAGATGGTAAAAAAGATACCACATGAGGCTTGGACAGGGTCGAAGCCAAATGTAAGTCATCTTAGAATTTTTGGATCAATGTGTTTCAGGAATGTACCTGAATAATTGAGAAAGAAGTTGGATGATCGAAGTGAAGTCATGGTGCTCATAGGTTATCATTCGACTGGTGCATACAAGTTGTATTCACCAATCTAAGATAAACTAGTGTGTGATACGGTGGGAGAACTGACTTGAGGTTTGCGTTTGTATTCGCAAATGTTGCGGTTAGCAAGAGTCGCCACCGACTTTTTATTTTATCCTAAGGAAAGGTTAAAAAGCACAGCAAAAAACCTTTTGAGATGTTTTCTTGGGTTCGGGGAGTAGATTATAGAAAGGGAAGGTATTAGCACCCTTTCTATCCATGGTTATCCATGGGCTCTTAGTTACTTGCTTAGATCACTTGCCTTTTGTTTTCAATTGTTTTAAATGGTGCTTGAGTGTGTGGGTTTGAAAATGTTTTGAAAAGAGGCCAATGTGGTGGCAACCTTTGTAATGATCCATGTGGGGATGTATACAAAGATGTACGTCTTTTGAAAAGGGTTTCATTTGTTTTTGAAAGTTATTTTGAAAGTGTAGTGATGTGTGATTTTGAAATTAGGCAAGTGTTTTGTTTTGCAAGTTAATTCAAGTAACTAAGAGGTTATCTACTCCTAAATTTCTCAAAAGATCATTGCTATACTTTAACCCTTTTAACAAGTTTGCTCCACCATTGTATTTGGTGGGCAACCTTGTGTTAGGATGTGAAAGGGACAGGCGCGGGTCATCGTATGGACCATAATTGCAACGGCGTTAAATGTCTTTGGGCAATTTTCTTTAAGGGACTTGATCATTTGTTTTTGTTTGTTTTGAAAAGTTTTATCGAGGGACTATGATCATTCAAACTGTTTGCTTTGCCCAAAGAAGTTCAACATACAATATGGCCCATTTATTTGAAGGCAACAAGTGGAATACCTTAGGGGGTGCAAGTGTGATCTGTGTGTCCATTTTCATGCTTGTTTATCTTGTATTAGGTCAAACTATTTTTTATCGTTTTTCGCATACAAACCCTAATTCTAACATGTTATCATTAGAAAGCAATAAAGTGCGAAATTAAAATTACTAAGCTATTACAAAACCAAATATGGGAAGGGGGGTACAAATGTTCAAATGGGGGATATTGACAAGAATTTAAATCTAAATTATTACATCATTTTGAATATTTGCAAGGTAAATAAATTGCATAATTAAATGGAAATTAAATAAATATGTGAAATGCAAAAAGAAAGTTTTTATATGTATGAGAAAATATTATTTATGTAAAAGAGAAAAGAAAATAAAAATGTATTATTTTTTGAGTATTTTGAATTTAGGGCAAAAAACCCTAATTTCAAAGAAAAGGTATTATTATCTAATTTAACACAACTATTTATTTATTATTTATAAAAATAAAATAAAATGAAGTATATTGTGAAAAAAGTATTTTTGTATCAAATATTAATAAAAATGAAAAATTCAAGTATTTTTTATATTTTAGCTTAAATATATTAATAAACATATATATATATATATATATATATATATATATTAAACCTTAAATAGGTATTATACACAAAGATAAATATTTATTTAATATTTTAATAAAATAAATAAAAATTATTTTTTGTGTGAAATATTTTCAGAATGTAAACAAAGATAAAAATTGTATTTACACTATTTTCTATTTATTCTAATAATAGTACATATATATATTATATA